CCTCTTTATCTCTATTGAACACCCACACCCTCAGGCCATTAAAGAAGAAAACAGAAAACAAAAAATACCAGTGTCCCAACCCCAGTACCAGTGTCCCAACCCCGGTACCAGTGTCCCAACCGCAGTACCAGTGTCCCAATCCCAGTACCAGTGTCCCAACCTCAGTACCAGTGTCCCAACCGCAGTACCAGTGTCCCAACCCCGGTACCAGTGCCCCAACCCCAGTACCAGTGTCCCAACCCCAGTACCAATGTCCCAACCCCGGTACCAGTGTCCCAACTGCAGTACCAGTGTCCCAACCTCAGTACCAGTGTCCCAACCGCAGTACCAGTGTCCCAACCCCGGTACCAGTGCCCCAACCCCAGTACCAGTGTCCCAACCCCAGTACCAGTGTCCCAACCCCAGTAGTCTTCTGAGCTGACGCGTCTGTGGGTAAGGCCAGGCAGCAGTAGCTGTTGGGCTCCCCGGGTGATTCTGCTCCATTGCCAGTTGAGAATAACTCCTCTCATCTTCCCATTTGCTCTTCAGCAAAATGGCGAGGATAACGTCTGACAATTAAGTGAAATAGCGTATATAAAATAATATACATAATCTTAGTTTTCATGACAAAATGGAAATGTCTATAATTTTGTTTGTTTTGTTTAGTTTTGCTATAGGGCATATCAGCAGAGCAGTAAAGGGAGAGAGAGGGTGAGAAATCGCCCCCAGGGATGACCACGCAGCAGTCCCTTCTCCTTCATTCACCTCTCAGGATTTGGGCACACATGCACATGTGCCTGACATGTTTTCCAAGCTACCAGATCAAGGATTCTGTCTGCACACTTGGTCCTGAGGGATCCAGCTACCTTGACTAGCACACCACTTACTTGGCCTAAAAGTCCTCTAATTTTCTTTTAAAGAATTATTTTATTTAACTTTACTTATTTATTTACTTACTTTTTAATTTGAACAAAGAGGGACAGAGCAAGAGAGAAAGTCAGAGAGCAAGCCGTCAGGTCCAGGACTTGAGCCGTGATCGGCCATGTGGGAGTCCAGCGTCCTTAACCACCTCGCCTCACGCCACCTGCCCCTAAAAATCCTATAATTTTTTTTGGAGAGGTTTTTGCTATAGGGCATGTGCACTCGAAAGACAGAGACAGAGACAGAAAGCGAGAAATCACCCCCCCGGGGGATGGCCACGCCGCAATTTCCTCCATTCTCCTCCTGGGATCTTGGGCATGTACACACACGCACCCGATGTGAGTTTAAGCCACTGGGTCCAGGACTCAAGCCACGGTCGACTACATGGGAATTCAGCGACATAGCCACTACACCAACTGCTGGTCCCAAGTCCTGTCATTCTTAAGCAGAGGTTCCCAGACCATGCCGTTTAGTGAAGAGTATGATTTTTTTTCCCCTCACAAACCCTAAAGATATCATTAGTTCACTATTTTTATCAGTACACATTCTGCAAAGATGAAATGGGATTACAAAAGTGCTACCAGAGTCATTGAATTAAGGACATTACATATTTAAATAAGTTATTAATCTTACATTTGCGTCCTTTAGTTCAAAAATGAAAACCTTAAGATTCATGCTGGTGTTTCAAATTGTGTGCCTGTCTAACAGGAAAAGAGAGCCAGCACCAGGGTTCCTGTAGCGAAGGGACGCACGTGAACGGCATTCAGCCAGAAGAAATCGGTAGGTTACGAGAAGAGATAGACGAATTAAAAAGTAATCAAGAACTTTTGCAAAGCCAGTTGGCTGAAAAGGACTCTGTAATTGAAAATTTGGTGAGTAAATATTTTAAAAAGTTAAAATAAGAGGTCAAGATTATTATTGTTTGTTTCGTTAGATCCCTTAAGTTAGTATCATAAGTAAAGATTTGAGTGTGAACTTTGGAGTCATCTGTATAAGCTTCACTGCTTTTTAGCTAATCGAACTTCAGCAACTTAGTTTTCCTCATTAAACTTGTCTCCTTGTATATGAAGTGGTGGTGGTAATATCTTTTAATTTCTGTAAGACTTAAATATTATTTTAATACCTGGAAATTACTTAATAAATACCTGCTTTTATACTCTTTCACCATGTGACCTCAAATACATGCTGAGATGTAATCAATTACTTAGGACGAGTATATATTTTTCAACTATAGAAAAGTTAGACAGTATGTGTGCCGGGGACCAGCCTCAGCGTGGGTGGGTTATCTCGACGAAGGCGACGAAGGAGAACAGAAGACAGAGGCCTCGATGCCTTTTCATGCACATCTTATGCCGGACACCCCTCAGAGGTGGCCCTCTGAGGAGTGACAACTGCTAGGAATTATCGTGCCTTTCTATTGAAAATGTGTTGTAAGTAAATGGGAGAGGGGCTAGTGTTTTAATTAACAACTCAAAGTTTTTAACAATAAAGAACATAGATTCTATTTAGGGTTTGTTTAAGGGTGGGTCTAGTGCAGTTCCTATTCAGGGGTGGATTAAGGGTGAGTCTAGTGCAGTTTCTCAACTGTAGGTGAGTCTCTATGGAATGCAGTTTTGGGAAAGCAGTTCCGGAAAGCAGAGATGATTATCAGCTGATGCGGCGTAGCAGCCATCTTGTAATTACTGGGAATGGTGCTGAGAAAAAAAAATCTCAATAGATATTAGTTTTTATAGATTTTAATAAAGAATAATACTTACACAGTTTTGTAGGGATCTATAACTTAATTTGAGAAATCCTAATATATTTATCTATTTCACTTGGAAAGGGCGGAGGTGTCCTGGGCCAGTTTTGGCCTAATCTTATTTACATAAAAAAAGGATTAAGTTTACCTTAAATGTATTTTGAAGGGCCTTCTAAAGGTCAAGATTACTTCTGCCTAGAAAAAACTTCAGCCCACCCTCTATTGTGACCATAGAGATAAAGCATTGTAATTAATAGTAAGTGATCAAAGCAAAGGGGAGCGGTCAGTCAGGAGACTTCCTGGAAGATTTTATCGTACACTCAGGATGTATAGGAGAGCTATGTAATATTTTTATAGTAATAAATTGGGGAGTCAGAGGGGGGTCGCTTCCCAGTGAGGCTACCACAGTTTTTGGAGCAAATAGCAAACAGCCTTGCTGACATGCTAAGTGACCCAAGCTTTGTTCCAAGGTCGGGGCGGGGGGGTACACAACAGTGGCCTTGCCAACGTGTTGATCCGACTAGAAGCGGAGCTCAAAGGTCGGGGGGCTCAGACAGATCCTGGGGCCTCACCGGGTCGGACTCCTCCATATGTGCTATGTTAAAATTTTATCTTTGGTGTGAAAATTAAAATATTGATGTGAATATTTTATTAAGTACATATAAGATATAGCTTAAATGTGTACAGCTCTGTTTTACTCTTTCCTTTCTCTTTAGTCTGAATTTGTTTCATACTTTATTTCTATGCTATTTGTAGAGATCGTCCCAAATATCTGGCATAGATGAACAGTCTTCAGCCGCAGCTTCAGCCAGAGATTCTGAACAAATTGCAGAGTTAAAACAGGTAATTTTCCAGCTCCATCCGAATTTGTCTCATATTAATTATAATTGAGAGAACGTTCTGTAGTTTCAGTAACCTAGCGCTACTTTGTTAGTGTGAACAAAATTAGTTAAGACAGTCATTGAAAATCCAGAAGCTGGGTTGTTTTGTTTCTTTGTTCTTGCCATAGGGTGCGTGTGCCTGCCAGAGACAGAGAGAGGGGGAAAGTAAGAAACTCCCCACTCCCCACAGGTGGGATGGCCATACTGTAATCCGTTCTGCATTCTCCTCACAGGATATTGGGCGTGCACACACATGTGCCCAGAGTGATTTTCCAGCTGTTGGGTCTGGGTCTTGGACCACACACAGTCGCCATGGTGGATCTTGCCATCTCAACCTCAGTGCTACCTGCTGGCCCCCAAAAGCTGTTTTTATTATACAGTAGTATTTTTTAATAATTTAATGAATTTTGTTACTGCTATTTAATTTGACCAGAGAGAGACAGAAAGAAAGGGGGAAGCGAGGAAGCAAGCTGCCAGGTCTGGGACTTGAATCACAGCCATGTGGGAGTCCAGTGCACTTAACAGCCACGCCACCTGCCAGCCTCAGTAGTTTCTTTTCTCTTGTGGTTTAGATTTGCTATAGGACACATGCATTCCCAGATTGAGAGAGAGAGAGAGAAAATAAGAAATCACTTCTCTGAGAGCCACTCTTCTCCACTCTCATCTTGGAATTTGAACATTGCACACACACGTGCCTTGTGTGTTTTTCAAGCTGCTGGGTCTAGAACTCAAACACAGCCAGCCATGTGAGATCTGGTGCCTTTTAACCACCACATCACCTACCCAGCTTAGTATTTTGTTCTTTATTGTGTGTTTTTATTTTTTAGTGATTTAAAAAAAAAAAAAATCTTAGCATCTCACCCAGATCATATACAGATTATTATTTGTGAACTTAAAATTAAAGGAAATTTTAAATGTACTTATAAGCTGCAAATATGAAGATATAAAATCATATGCCTAACTTTCATATTATATTGACTATGATAATCAATTGACTAAATGTATTTGGTATTTAAATTATTCTGTGAAGAAAAATACTGAATTTTAGTACTAGAGGGGAAAATGGACTAAACCTGTATATCTCTTGTTTAGATGACTCCAGTCGAAAAAATGAAATAGAATTTTTCTGCTTGATAATTTCTTTTATTGTTGTTGTTCTTGTTTTTTTAATAGAGATTTTCATTATAGGGCACCTGCGCTCGCCAGAGAGACAGAGAAAGACAGGAAGCAAGAAATCACCCCCACAGGGGGACGGTCGCACCACAATCCCTTCTCCCCTTGGGATTTTGCACACACATGCACATGTGCACATGCACCTGGTGTGAGTTCTAAGCCACCAGGTCTGGGACTCAAAACACAGTCAACAAGGTGGGAGTCCAGTGACATAACCGTTATGCTGCCTGCTGGCTCCTCTATAACTCGTTTTGATCATTGAAAAAACAAGTAAAGAGAAGCTACATACGTACATGGTAGAAATTTTTAAGAGAATAAAAGATAACAGCTTTTACATGCCAGCATCCCACCACTTACCCAGTGTTCCAGACATTATCAAATGTCCAAAGATGGAAAAAACTGTAATTGCTTTTCTTTTCCTGTACCTATTTGCGGAGAGGAGTTTGAAAATTTAAACATGAATATAACTTTCAGGAAATTTTCCGGCTGTAACTCTAGTACTCCTGCTGGTAGACTCTGGTCTAGAGATGTCCTGTTTTGACCTTCTGTGTAATAAACCTCTGGTCTTTAGCCATGAGAGGAGGAACAGTTACATGATGCATGAGATTGGAAGGAATCTGATGGTCTATTTCTTACGCAGACTTTAACCGTCCTTACCTTTTTTTTTTTTTTTGAAGGAATTATTTTATTTAACTTTATTTTATTTATTTATTTAAATTTGACCAAAAAGGAGTAGAGTGAAAGAGAGAGAAAGAAAGAAAGCCACCAGGTCCAGGATTTGAACTGTGGTTGGCCACATGGGTGTTCAGCGCCCTTAACTGTATGTCACCTGCCGGCCCTGCCTTTTTTCTTTTTTAAGAATTATATTATGGGACCAGCAGTTAGCATAATGGCTATGTCGCTGAACTCCCATGTAGCCGACCGCAGTTCGGACCCGGTGGCTTAAACTCACGCTGGGCGCGTGTACATGCCCAAGATCCCGAGGGGAGAATGGAGGAGATGGGATTGCTGTGTGACCATCCCCCCGGGGGGGTGATTTCTCGCTTTCTGTCTCTCTGTCTCTCTCTCTCTCTGGCAAGCGCACGCACCCTCTAGCAAAAACCTCTCCAAAAAAAAAAGAATAATTTTATTTAACTATGTTTATTTATTTATTTACTTTCATTTGACCAGAGAGGGACAGAGTGTGTGTGTGAGAGATAGAGAGGGAAAGTGAGAAAGTAAGCCACCAGGTCCAGGACTCGAACTGCCGTCAGCCATGTGGGAGTCCAGCACCCTTAACCACCATGTCACCTGCTAGCCCCCATTCTTGCCATTTTTAACCCCATTTTTTACCTGTATTTCACAACGGTATGTCATGGCACCAGTTCCCAGGCCTTTTAGTGCCACGGTCAGCTAAGCCAGGTTCCAGTGTGGCTTTTTCTGTGTCGGCCCTGCGCTTCAGCTTACCCGAGTGTGCCAAGTCAGTGGGCGGCAGCGTTTGCTTTCTGAAACTTCCCAGGTTTATTCCGATTTCTCTTGTTCTCTTTATCTTCTTAGGTTTTTTCTTCTTCCTTCTTTTCTTCTCTTTTCCCCCCCTTCCAAACTTTTTTCAAACTTCCTCCTCCTTGCTCTCCCTCCCTTTATGATTTTTTGCATGGGATCTCAGGGGTAGAGGTAAATGAATATGTTTTATTTTTTATCTTGAACCCAAAGTTCAAGCACAGTTATATTTTAAAACTTGGAAGTTGTAATTTTAAGAGGCTAGAGTCAAAAAAGGAAAAATTTTAAAGTATATCTTCTTGTAAACAGACTTTTTCATGATGAAATTAATACTGTTTAACATTTCAGCTTAACTATTTTTGCCTACTAGGAACTGGCAGTGTTAAAGTCTCAGTTAAACTCTCAATCTGTGGAGATCACCAGGCTACAGACAGAGAAGCAGGAGCTATTGCAGAAAACAGAAGCACTTGTAAGTTAATTTTTTTTCTGAAAGGTAATAAACACAAGGTTGATGCATTATTTTCCAGCCACGATGAAAAAGAAGCGAATTCATCAAACCATGCCTTCTCTTTAGATTACTCACTTGCTAAGTCTAGGAACCTAGGCTTCTTGGTTATGGTGACAGCCATGTTGGACTCAGATTCGTTTATTCAATTACCTAATAGTTTATTCTCCTGGTATTATGTCCCATCTCTGTCCCTTTAAGCCTAAGCTGGCAGTTTTTCTGCTATAAAATGACCAAAAGCTTTGTCCCCCACCCCCACCCCACCCCCTCATATTTCAGCGCCCTTAACTGTATGTCACCTGCCGGCCCTGCCTTTTTTCTTTTTTAAGAATTATATTATGGGACCAGCAGTTAGCATAATGGCTATGTCGCTGAACTCCCATGTAGCCGACCGCAGTTCGGACCCGGTGGCTTAAACTCACGCTGGGCGCGTGTACATGCCCAAGATCCCGAGGGGAGAATGGAGGAGATGGGATTGCTGTGTGACCATCCCCCCGGGGGGGTGATTTCTCGCTTTCTGTCTCTCTGTCTCTCTCTCTCTCTGGCAAGCGCACGCACCCTCTAGCAAAAACCTCTCCAAAAAAAAAAGAATAATTTTATTTAACTATGTTTATTTATTTATTTACTTTCATTTGACCAGAGAGGGACAGAGTGTGTGTGTGAGAGATAGAGAGGGAAAGTGAGAAAGTAAGCCACCAGGTCCAGGACTCGAACTGCCGTCAGCCATGTGGGAGTCCAGCACCCTTAACCACCATGTCACCTGCTAGCCCCCATTCTTGCCATTTTTAACCCCATTTTTTACCTGTATTTCACAACGGTATGTCATGGCACCAGTTCCCAGGCCTTTTAGTGCCACGGTCAGCTAAGCCAGGTTCCAGTGTGGCTTTTTCTGTGTCGGCCCTGCGCTTCAGCTTACCCGAGTGTGCCAAGTCAGTGGGCGGCAGCGTTTGCTTTCTGAAACTTCCCAGGTTTATTCCGATTTCTCTTGTTCTCTTTATCTTCTTAGGTTTTTTCTTCTTCCTTCTTTTCTTCTCTTTTCCCCCCCTTCCAAACTTTTTTCAAACTTCCTCCTCCTTGCTCTCCCTCCCTTTATGATTTTTTGCATGGGATCTCAGGGGTAGAGGTAAATGAATATGTTTTATTTTTTATCTTGAACCCAAAGTTCAAGCACAGTTATATTTTAAAACTTGGAAGTTGTAATTTTAAGAGGCTAGAGTCAAAAAAGGAAAAATTTTAAAGTATATCTTCTTGTAAACAGACTTTTTCATGATGAAATTAATACTGTTTAACATTTCAGCTTAACTATTTTTGCCTACTAGGAACTGGCAGTGTTAAAGTCTCAGTTAAACTCTCAATCTGTGGAGATCACCAGGCTACAGACAGAGAAGCAGGAGCTATTGCAGAAAACAGAAGCACTTGTAAGTTAATTTTTTTTCTGAAAGGTAATAAACACAAGGTTGATGCATTATTTTCCAGCCACGATGAAAAAGAAGCGAATTCATCAAACCATGCCTTCTCTTTAGATTACTCACTTGCTAAGTCTAGGAACCTAGGCTTCTTGGTTATGGTGACAGCCATGTTGGACTCAGATTCGTTTATTCAATTACCTAATAGTTTATTCTCCTGGTATTATGTCCCATCTCTGTCCCTTTAAGCCTAAGCTGGCAGTTTTTCTGCTATAAAATGACCAAAAGCTTTGTCCCCCACCCCCACCCCACCCCCTCATATCCAGGCCACCAGACAAGGTGGCCCTCCACAGGTTCTCCTCGGGTCACTTTGTCTCTGTTCCTGGCTTCTCAATGATTGTTGAACAGTTCCCTCTTAAGTTTCCCTCATCTCTCACATTTTATAGTAAGCAGCAAGGAAAAGCCAAGCTGCAGTTCAGAACTTGGCTTAGAAGGCCCAGCAGGTGGCGTAGTGGGTAGACACTGGGCTCCCACATGGCTAACTATGGTTCAAGTCTCGAACCTGACAGCTTGCTTTCTCACTTTCTCTGTCTCTGTCTCTCTCTCTCTGTCTTTCTCTGGTCAAATTAAAACAAATAATTATAACAATAAATAAATTTTAAAAAATAAAACTTGGCTTAGAAAAACCGCCTCAGCTAAATATTCAAGTTTGGCACTTACAAGTTCTCCTTTCCACAGAACACTAGAACATCATTTGGCCAAGTTCTTTCCAACTTTACAGCAAATATCTCCTTTTCTCCAAATTCCAAAAACATATTTCTCATTGTCATCTGAGACTTCACCAAAAGTACCTTACCATTCTTGTTTATACCAGTAGTCTGTTCATGGCGATATATGAACATATTTCTAAGACCACACAAGCTTTCTCTTCTGCTCTCTTTTCTTTCGGAGTTCCCACCAGAGTCATGTGCCAATGTGCAACAAGTCCTTTTTTTTTTTTTTGAGAAATTTTTGCTATAGGGCATGTGTGCTTACCGGAAAGAGAGAGAGAGATGGAAAGCAAGAAATCACCCCCCAGGAGGGATGGCCATGCCGCAATCCCTTCTTCTCCATTCTCCTCTTGGGATCTTAGGCGCACACATGCCTGGTGTGAGTTTATGCCACTGGGTCCAGAACTCAAACCATTGTTGACTACATGGGCTACAAGTGCTAGAAACCAAACCTAATCTGTGTCTTACAGGTTAGGTCCCCACAACAAGAACTCTCTTTGCAGTAATTTGGGCTTTCTCTGACATGCACTTCAAAACCCTTCCAGCCTGGGAACCAGCAGTTAGCGTAATGGCTATGTCGCTGGACTCCCACGTAGTTGACCGCGGTTCACATCCCGGACCCGGTGGATTAAAACTCATGCCGGGTGCGTGTGCGTGCATGCCCAAGATCCCAAGAGGAGAATGGAGGAGAAGGGATTGCGGTATGACCATCCCCCCTGGGGGGTGATTTCTCGCTTTCTGTCTCTGTGTCTCTGTCTGTCCAGCGAGCGCACGTGCCCTATAGCGAAAACCTTTCAGAAAAAAAAAAAAAAACCCTTCCAGCCTCTATCCAGACGCAAAGCCATTTCCACACTCTCAGATGTTTGTGGCATCAACCCTCGACTTCTTAGTTTTTTGTAGAAAAAAAGATGAAGAAGTACTGAAAACTGCAATTTAAGAGTACATCCTCGGGGCCAGCAAATGACTGGTTACGGTGCTGGACTCCACATGGCTGACCACCATTCGAATCTCAGACCTGGTGGCTTAAAAATCATACCAATTGGTGCATGTGCCCAAAATCCTGAAAAGAGAATGGAGGAGTGATCACCCCTCCCCCAGGAGGGATTTCTCACTTTCCCTCTCTCTGTCTCTGGTGGACATACACGCCCTATGGCAAAAACCCTAAAAAAAAAATTTCTTTCATAGTTAAGATGATGTGTGAGTAGATAAACTCCTCTTCAAAGAACTTGAAGCATCAAAAGGTATATTGAGGTTATTTTAATAATAATAATAACAAGAGTACAGCCTCTAGCACTTAAGAAAGTACTTACATTTCACCAATTAAGCGGTATTTAGCTCAGTTTATCTACCTCTCTGAGACAGTGGTGTGGACTTGACCTATAGGAAGTTTATGAGGGAAAGGCTTTAAAAAGTAACCCCAGCTAATTAACTGCTGTGTGATAGCTACGTTAGCACTGCCTCATTGACTCCTCTCTGGACTGATCTTGAGGCAGGCTTCCTCGACTCCAATGCAATTTGATGCTGCTTCACCGAAGGGACAGCTCATCTGTCAGGGAGAAGCATGTTTGCAGATGTAGGAAGTATATTTTTCTGTTACTGGAAATTTCAAAATAGCAAGAAAATTAAATAACTACTTTAGGAATTCACATTGATTGTTCATATTCTAAAAACATTTTTTTCCTCAATGTCTATTTTCAGGCAAAATCAGTTCCTATACAAGGAGAAAATGAGACTGTAACAGCCACTAAAACTACTGACGTAGAAGGAAGACTATCAGCGTTATTACAGGAGACGAAGGAATTAAAGGTTAGCTTCTGGTGAAACTTATTTACTGCATAGCATATGAAATGTACTCCAGGAAATTTGTTTTTATTTCATTTCATCTCTTCATATCTTAGATTTATGAAGAAAGCTAATGGATATAATTTTTTTTTCCTTTTTGGAGAGGTTTTCGCTATAGGGCGCGTGCGCTCACCAGAAAGGCAGAGAGAGACAGAGAGAGAGAAAGCGAGAAATCACCCCCCCGGGGGGATGGCCACACCGCAATCCCTTCTCCTCCATTCTCCTCTAGGGATCTTGGGCATGCATGCACATGTGCCCGGCATGAGTTTAAGCCACTGGGTCCGGGGCTCAAACCACAGTCGACTACGTGGGAGTCCAGCGACATAGCCATTACACTAACTGCTGGTCCCACTAATGGATATAATTTTAACTCACATTTCCACTCCTATTTTGATGATTAAAAATGACACAAATCAGGGGCCAGGTTGTGTCATGGTGGAAATGCAACTGGACCCACACAGGAAAGGTCCAGAATTTGCCTCCTAGACCTCCCCAAACATGCCAGGTACATGTGTACATGCTGGATAAGACTGAGGGTGGACCGTGGCATGGAGACCCTATTGGGCTGTCTGTCTTGCATGGAAATAAATAAATAAGTAACTTTAGCAGGTGGCATAGAAGAGGGCTGCCTCTGGCCTGGTGGTTCAGGTGGCCAAATCCCACATGGTTGATGGCACAGTTGGAATCTCGAGCCACAGAGTCAGCGGTGTGGTAATCCAGTGCCTTAACCACCATGCCACCAACTAGCCCCCTGAATGATTTTATTTTTATGAAGCTATTATTCTTTCTCTAATTTTATGTATGAAGTTGGCGTAAAAAGTTTTTTAACTTGGGTTTCACATTCTGACTCTAATATTAACCAGGCTTCTGTTGTAAAATGTTTTGTATCTATTCACACGTCTGATTATCTGAAATTTTTTAAATTAAATCTCTTAGGATATTTTTAAGGAATTATTAGCTGGCAAAGTTTTATTTTTTTTTTAATTCTGTTTCTCTCAATTACCATACTTTTTTCTTTAATTTTATTTATTTCTTCTGTGAAACAAATGCCATGAGATACATGCATACAGATGTGCCCAGCATACATTTGTATGCATGTATTTCCAGGCTCACTGTGAACCCAGAACCTTCCCATATAGATCCAGATGTATTTCCACCATTCCACCATCTGACCCCCATAACGTCCATCTTTGACAAATAGTCTAACAGATTCTTATGTTACTTTTAGGTGTGTTTTAAACCTCCTATACCCTCAATTCCCACCACTAAACTCAAATTGGACAAGGACAATGACTTGTCATAGAAAGTAACTATTAAAAACTCTAAGAAAGTGAATATTAATTTTAGATTATTAGAGATCAGCAGATATCACAATGGTTATATCGCTTGACTCTCATGTGGTTGACTGCTGTTCGAGACCCAGACCTGGCAAGTTAAAACTCAGGCCAGGCGCATATGCATATCCAAGATCCCAGGAGGAGAATGGAGAAGGGATTATGGCCTGGGAGTGATTTTCTTGCTATCTATCTCTCTGTCTCCCTGTCTCTCTAGCGAGTACATGCTCCCTATAGCAAAAATCTCTCTACTAAAAAAAAAAAAAAAATTAAGATAATTGACTTTCACCCTTCTTTTCCTAGAATGAAATTAAAGCTCTGTCTGAAGAAAGAACTGCCATTAAAGAGCAGCTAGATTCATCTAACAGTACCATTGCCATTTTACAAAATGAGAAAAACAAACTAGAGTTGGATATTACAGATTCCAAAAAAGAACAAGATGATCTCTTGGTGCTGTTGGCCGACCAAGATCAGAAAATACTGTTATTGAAGAATAAGCTCAAAGATCTTGGTCATCCGGTAAGATTACATTGTTTCCAAAAATGATGTGTGTTAATGTTTCTCTATAATGTATTTATAAATTTTAACTAGCCTGGAAAAGTTGTAGGTATATTGCCATGTAGGTTCCGAGTATGCTGTCATCTGCTTTGCTTTCACTGTGTTCAGTGGATTCTGTAAGACACAGATTAGGTTTGGTTTCTAGCACTTGTAGACTGTTACCTTTAGGACCTGGGGCCTCAAAGTGTAATGGATTTGCATGCTTCTTTGATAACAGGACTCTTACCACCCAAGTTTGTCATTATCTTTTGCCATGTGTGATTAAATTTGTTTGTAGATAAGGTATAGCCATCCTTTAGCAAAATTAACTGATCCAGATCATTCACATTGGAAATGACAGGGAAGGGCTGGCAGATGGCATGGTGGTTAAGGCGCTGAACTCTCACATGGCTGACTGCAGTTTGAGCCCCAGACCTGGTGGTTTGCTTTCTCACTTTCCCTTTCTCTCTCTTTCTCTGGTAAAATTAAAAAATAATAACAAATTAAATTAAATAAATTTACAACAAAAAAGAAAAGAAAATGATGGGAAGCCTTGAACAATAATAAATGAAGGAAATCTGGTGACTTGTATTCTATTATTACTAGAATGCGAAAGTTATCAACAGAAAATGTTACTGCATACATGTGTAGATTGCATATGCAATGAACAAATAATAATACATTTTTATTTTTCCTTTAGGTTGAAGAGGAGGATGAGCTTGAATCTGGAGACCAAGAAGATGAGGATGATGAAAATGAAGACAGTGGCAAGGACCAGGATCATATCTAGCTTTAGAGTCCCTAGGAATGATAGATTATATTGTTACTTTGAAGATGGAATCTTAAGACAGTGCTTTGGTTTGCCTCCACAGAAAATAAAGATTTAGAAACCACATGGAAAGCATTTACTAGTAAGACTATTGTTATACTTTTTAAATGTTGCCACCCATGTTGAGAACCCTAAAACTTCCATGTTATTTGGAACACGCATCTTTTTCTTAAATTCATCTGAACGGTCCCGAACTGTACTTTGCAAAGAGCTTCAGACGCCAAAACTATACCATGTTAAGGCATGTGGTGGCAATGCTGTTCACCTTGGTTTATTGGTTGTTTACTTTTCAGGATTTGTTACTTTTAAGTACTAACACATTTGATTTAATGTGTATTGAATTGGAATCATTGTTTCTAAATTCGGCATCTGAATTCTTTGCCTATGATTTCCTTTTAAAGTCAGTTTACTTAGAGGCCTGATGGCCTAGTCGGGGAAGACGCCCAGCCCTCTCTCCAGTATGACTCCCCAGATGAGCAGGGCAGGACAGTTTGGAGTGAGAGAGTGCCTTGACCCCGGACACAGCCGCATTCAGTACCTCGTGCCGTGACAGGACCCGGACAGTGCGAGGAGGGCAGTTCTGAGAAACATTTGCAACGGTGTATTCATATGATGGGTTTTCTTTTTATTTTAAGCTAAACATCTAAAACATTATAAATTAACAGCTCATACAACTCAGATTTAGCATTATTGTTTGATTATCATAAAACATATTATGTTCTTAGTTTTAAAAAGACCCAAACTATGATTTATATAATTTATTGGCATTTTTGCTGAATAGGTTTAAGTCAGATAATAGATTTTTAAAAAAAAACAAATGAAGCAATGTGTCAAAATTTAATGTTTTCGTAATAAAAATAGATATTATGTTCACTTAACCTTGGTTACGGTTCCCTTTTTGAATATTTTATTCCTAATAAAAGGTGAAACAAGTAGAAATAGTGAAAGGACCTACTTCCCTTACTCGTAGAGGCACATGACTAACTGAATGTTAGAAGCAGTCTAATCATTTAAAACTAATTATTTTGGGAACCAGCAGTTAGCGTAATGGCTATGTCGCTGGACTCCCACATAGTCGACCACGGTTCGCGTCCCGGACCCAGTGGCTTAAAACTCACGCCAGGCACGTGTGCATGCGTGCCCAAGATCCCAAGAGGAAAATGGAAGAGAAGGGATTGCGGCGTGACCATCCCCCCCTGGGGGTTGATTTCTCGCTTTCTGTCTCTATGTCTCTGTCTGTCTGTCTGGCGAGCACACGCGCCCTATAGCGAAAACCTCTCAAAAAAAAAAAAACTAATTAATTATTTCAATTCCATAAGATTAGAAGGGGCCAATTGCAGGCCAGCAGATGGCATAATGGTCACATTGCTAGACTCCCATGTAGTCTACTGTGGTTTGAGTCGTGGACCTGGCAACTTAAAACCTCACACCAGACACCAGGCACATGTGTGTGCATCCCCAAGATCCCGAGAGGAGAATGGAGGAGAAGGGATTGCAGCATGGCCATCCCCACTGGGAGATGATTTCTCACTTTCTGTCTCCCTGTCTCTCTCTGTCTTTCTGGCAAGCGCATGTGCCCTATAGCAGAAACCTCTCAAAAAAAGAAAAAAAAAAAAAAACACAAGGGGTATGTGCGTGTGTGCTCAAAATCCCAAGAGGAGAATGGAGGAGAAGGGATTGCTGTGTGGCCATCCCCCATGGGGTGATTTCTCACTTTGTCTCCGGTGATCGTACACGCCCTATAACAAAAAATATCTCTTAAACAGCTGAGGAAGCGGGACCAGCAATTAGCATAATGGCTATGTCATTGGACTCCCATGTAGTTGACCACGGTTCGAGTCCCAGACCCAGAGGCTTCAACTCATGCCAGGCACATTTGCATTCGGGCCTAATATTCCGAGATGAGAATAGAGGAGAAGGGATTGTGGCATGGCCATCCCGCCTACGGGGGTGATTTCTCGCTTTCTATCTCTCCATCTCTCTCTGGCTTTCTGGTGAGTTCACACACCCTATAGCAAAAAAAAAAAAAAGAAAGAAGCTGAGGAAGGGGCTAATTGGAGCAATCACACAAATGTTAGAGGCTGGAAAAGGGTTTGGTTGTTTGTAAATTCAGCATCAAGCTTCTTAGCAGTGGTTTCTATTAGCAAAACGAGTGTACCCAAAGGCCAGATAGCCTGGGCTGTGGATAATGCATATCATCTGCCTGGGTTCAGGAGTAGCTGGAGAAGGCTACTAAGGGGCCCAAACTTTTGAAAGACAAGCACTCTTCATTTGTCTTGAAAAATGAAGGAGATGGGGTGTGTCACAGAGCACCTGTCAGTGCTCCCCACCCCCTGCCATCCTCCTCCACCTCTACATCCTAAGATGGTACTTGTCAGAGAGTACATGAGCGTCACTGGACCAGCTCACATCATGTAAGTCTTCCTAGCGTAGACACCACACAATGAAGACATTGACTACTGCGGTTCAGGTTCACGTAACAAGGATTCAGCCAAGTGGATCAAGTGTGAGAACTCCTAAGTATGGAATATCGGAAATCTTCAGGAAGAAACTTCTGCACAGTCGGTGCTCGTATGCCAGACCCAGTCACTCAAGCTGGCCTGGAGGTGGGGGCCAGGGAGAGTCCTCGTAGCTGCACAGCCCAGCCTGGAGCCACCAAGGACTTCCCCGCCCCAGCCGGAGCGTTTGACTGTATCGCTCTGGAGCCTCGCTGAGTGCTGTCTCCGGTCCAGTCGTTGCCTCTCCACCCCACGCTCTCACCCTTCTCCACAGTCAGTTTTCTGAAATGCAAGTGTGAGCAGAAGATGCTACAGCACCTACTGTGTGCAGTCATTGACAAGGTCGACAAGGCCTTCTGCTCTCTGCTGTCCAGTTTCTTCACCCTTTTCAGAACAGCAACCAGAATATCTCCTATTATTGCTGCTGTGGTCTGAATGTTCACACCTAGCCAAAATTCACACGTTGAAATCCTCACCCCAAGGTGATGGCATTAGGAAACGCGGCCTGCGAGGTGATAGGGTCAAGGTCACGAAGCCTAGTAGTGGGGTCAGTACTCTTAGAAAAGAGACCCAAGAGAGATCCCTTGCCTTCTGCTCTGTGAGGTTAGGCTGAGAAGATGGCCCTCTGGAGGAACAGGGCCGTCCGCAGACACCGTATCTGCTGGCATCTCGATCCTGGACTTCCCAGCTGCCAGAACTGTGAGAACCGTTCATTATTTATCGGCTCCCCAGCCTGTGGTATTTTGTTGTAGCAGCCAAACAAACAGATGGCATATATTCCACGTTCTCATTTCTCGCCTCGTTTCTGCATCTGGCCTTTCCCCGCCTGTTTGTCAGCCCTTTGATTAAAGGAGATTCGATGTGCGAGAGGCTAAACAACGGAGAGTAATGGCAAAGCGTGAGACATACTCACCCTTACCGTCTGAAACTGACTGAAGTTAGTTTACACCTCTGGGCCCCCCAAAAGAAAAAAAGTCACCCACAGTTACTGTGAGAGTTAAAGAGCAAGAGCCAACAAGCCAAGGATATGAACATGAGCAAAAAAGACCTCTGGGGGGCTGGCAGGTGGTGTGGCGGTTAAGGTGCTGGACGCCCACATGCTGACAGAAGTTCGAGTCCTGGACCTGACAGCTTACTTTCTCACTTTTTTTCTCTCTGTCTCCGTTCAAATTAAAACATAATCGTAATAAATAAATAAAATTAAATAAATTTTTTTTTTAAAAAAAAGGCCCTCTAGGATCTCTTGAGTGTGGCAATCTGCTGAAATATGGGACTCATTTATTTCCACAGCATAACTCGGCCTAAGCAGTATGGATGTATATATTAAAAACGTAACTGTTTGATCTTCTCAACAACCTTGGTAAGTAGATACCAGCGCTCTACAGAGGGTGAGTACTCTCCTCAGTTCTGATCCCCATGTACCCGCAGAGGGACATCCCTGGAGCACTGGGAGCCTCTCCTCTAGTCCCTCATTCCCCGGCATACGGCCATTAGCATTTCCTGTTTTAGATAATGCGGCTTTCACCTGACCCCACAGCCTCCTCCAGCTATTGGCCCATTTCCCCGCTCCCCATAGAGCGCAGTATCTCACGCGGTCTACGCTGTCATCTCCAAGTCTTCTTGGGCTTTCTGCTCCTTGTATGTAACCCAAGTTACTTTATTTATTTTTAAAGAATAATTTTATGTAACTTTATTTGTTTTTTTTCCTTTTCTTTAAATTTGATCAGAGAGGGAGAGAGAGAAAGAGAGCGAGAGAGGGAAAGCAAGCTGCCAGGTCCGGTATTTGAGTCGCCGGCAGCTATGTGGGAGTCCAGCGCCCCTAACCACCACGCCGCCTGCCGGCCCCACCCAAGTTACTTTAAACAGTTGCATGTCGCTCAGGGATATGTTCTGAGAGACGCGGAGCAAGGGCGATGGGGTCGTGTGTGCACATGAGCGTGTGCTTACACGAATCCGGGCGGGACAGCGGGCCGCGCACCGGTGAGCGCAGGAGTCCTCCAGGCACGGGGATACGTATTTGTTTTTCGCTGGTCTGGTCTGGCTTCCGTAACTAGGGAGGCGTGAACCGGAGGGCTGTGGAGTGGCCATCCCCCCCACATGGGTGGACAGAGAAGCGGAGACGTTCACCTGAGCAGACGAGCAGAGACGAGGTGGGGTGGAGAAGAGGCAGGGCTTGGACGGCCACCCTGTCTCCCACTGACCTCCTCAACAGCCTCCATCCCTTCGCGCTATTCGCCTCAGAGCACTAACCACACTCAAGAAATGCTTGCTTAGTGTGTCCTCGCACCCAGAGTGGATGTGTGAGCGCTGTGAGGGCGCGAGAACTTTCTCATCCCTGAATTCCCAGCGCCTAGCTCGACGTTTGGCGCGTGTGGGCCCGCCGTCCATCCTGGCTAGGTAAATGAATTCCATTTTCTTGTGCATGAATGTAGGCGAGGACGATTTGTTTTTCCCTTCCATCCATCTTAGGTTTACTGAATGGGGTCCCAGTAGATGCGGCTGATAGAAGACAGATACAAATATATTTCATATAAATCCTATGTGGCACAGGTGCCCTCGCGGGGATATATTTAATACAAATCCTATATGGCACAGGTGCCCTCGTGAGGAAAGGAAGACCTGAAGAAGTGGTTAAACCCAGGGGTTTTGATACTACCGTAGGTTTGAGAAAGAGTGGAAAATCAGAGGACTGTGGTAGGACTAAGGGTAGTCAGCAGGGTCTTCATGCCACAATCCAGCCCCAGTTTCAGCCAGCCAGCAGGATCGCAGGTACGTTGCACGTGGCCCCTGTGCACAGGGAGATCTCAGGACGCACTCCGAGGACCTTCCCAGGAGCCTCAGCGTCTCGCAGCCTTGCCGCTGCACCACACCCAGCCTCTGTGCAGCTTCGTTCTTTCCGACTTTCGCTTGTTTCTATTAGTGTGATAATACCTGCCATACATTCCCAAAACAACTTTATTTATTTCATTTTTCTTTAAGAAAGGAGGTTACTGGGCTTAGCAGGTAGTATGGTGGTTAAGATGCTGGATCCCCACATGGCTGACTGTGGTTAGAGTCCTGGACTTGGCAGCTTGTTCTCTCTCTCTCTCTCTCTTTCTCTGATGAATACACGTGCCCTGTAGCAAATTTTAAAAATAATAATGATAATGAAATTAATTATTAAAAAAATAAAGAGAAAGG